ATTTTTATTCCACCCTCTTTTTTACACTATCTGTCGCTCTTTGTAAAACACTCACGGCCGCACACGCATGATCACCCGCCCCATTTTTATCTCCCTCCTCTTCCACCGGCTTTTCCTTCCCGCTTATCTTTAAGTCTACTTCTCATACATTTTTTTTTTTCATCCTTTCCCACTCTTATCCTCTCTGGCTCTGCTGTGTTTCCATCCTCTTCCTCTAACTCCTCTTTGTCGTCTCATCTCTCCCCCGCAGCTGGAGGTGATCATTTCCTCCTGGGCGAGAACCTGACAGTAGCTGTTCTGGGAGTGGTCATCCCCATTGGTAAGTCACCTGAAGCGTCCTTTTCTGCATCTGTCCGTCCACACTGAAGGCCAGCTGCTTTCTACCTGACGCCTATGGCCTCTCTGTTTGTACTCAATTCACTGACCCTGCTGTGGCAGGTCGAGAGAAGCCTGCCCCACAGGTCTTTTTCTCTGAGGTTTATCTCATTAGTCATTTTCTGCGTCTGACATCTCTGCCACGCTGCATCATTCACCTCATGCTATGTTGTTGTGTACGGTCCTGCTACAGCCACAGGCCTCCTTGTCAGTAGATACTTTGTCTCTGTAGTTTAATAGAGCAATAAAATATACTGAAACATTTTCTCACTTGCCTCTAATGGTTAGGTAGGTGTGTAGCTACTGCAGCTATACCTGTCCATATGTCGGTTACCCTCAAATAGGAAACAAGCGATATTCAACGTGAAACCAAAACTAACCGGATCAACCTTTATTCAGACGTTCAGGTGTGAAAAGGCCCTGAGTCTTCACTTGAGAGCCTGAAGCCAAAACTCAGCATGGTAATAAACAGCATTGTTTATTCATTTCAATGCTGAGCTAGTAAATCCTAATTTAACCATGATAGCAAAAAATCTAACTCTCTGACTTACATGTTTTTTGTACGGTCAAAAAGTTTGTTTTCACCTTTAATGTTACAGGATAAAAGGATGGAGAGTGAAATTAGGCAATGACATTATCTAAGGTAACATTGCTGAGACAGTCACTGATGTTGGCTGAAAATCTTACAGCTGATATAACCAGCTTCAGTTTATTCAAGAAATATAAATGTATGTAATTGTTTTAAACAGGTTTATTTACCTTGTAACCCCAGTGTATTTAGTTAATGATGTGCCAGTTAGCCTTCATTGTTGTTTATGACTCAGAGGCCAGTGCGCTTTTAATGATTGCAGAATAAATCACCATGTATAAAATCACAGTTTAATTCATTCCTCACACTTTTGCTCTGGTTTTGGAAAGACTAGACAAACACCAACCTTTTAAAGAAGAATGCAGCTACATTAAAACAATAAGTTCCTGTGGGAATATTATCCCTTGAGTAAACTGGTTATCCTTTGACACCACTTAAAATATATAGAGGATAATAAACAAACTGTGTATGTGGAAGATACAAAATCTTCTGTTGACGCACAACATGTACATGAACAACATGAGTAAGCCAATGAGTTCAGATAGAGAGTTTCCTTAATTCACCTCATCAGATGAACAGTACAAGAGAAAGCTTGACGCTTTATTTGTGAAATTATTATAACTTGACTTAATAAAGGACAGATTTGCTGAAGATGAGGTGCCAACAGATAGTGATGTAATGTGATGGTTATTAGATGATATAGTTTTTAGTTTAGCTTTGCACAGTGATTAAAAAATCTGGTAGTCTGTGTTTGACCTGACTTTGACCCGACGATTGGCTGAGCCAGATACACACACAACCTGTGTCGCTGCCCCTCTCTGTCGCCCGCATGCCTGTGCTGCTCCTTCCTGTGCCTCTCATTTCATGCCATGGACTCGTTCTGCCTTGTTAACGCTGCCCCCTTCCCATTTCCCCGCCGCTGTGTGTTAAACGCATGCAGTTCCTATCGTTGCCACAGTGGTGTTCGGCCTGGTCTGTGCCGGAGTCTACCTGGTGTGGCGGAACTGGCGGCGCAACTCCACCAAGAGCATGAACTTCGACAACCCCGTCTACCGCAAAACCACCGGCGAGGGCGAGGAGGACGAGATCCACATCGGTCGGACCGACGGCATGGGACACCACGCGCACCATCACCCGTACCCACAGGGCGTCAGCATGGGAGTTGTGGGAGCAGGAGGTGGGACCTGCCCGCAGTTCATTGCACTGCCGCTTGGGGGCAGCATGCCCGATCCGGGGACTCACTGGTACACGGAGCAGCCGATGCTCTCCACCGCTAAGTGATCTGAGAAGGAGACTTCCGGAGAAGATGGCCGCTCAGGCACACGCACACACAGTGAGGTCAGGGGGGACTTGGACTGAGTCTGCTGAAGGGACAAACAACATATCATCAAGTCTTACACGCAGCCATTCACAGCCATGTACTATGCCAATTTCCATTTGAAAAACAATAAGTCGTGTCAAACCTTTTCTGTGCTGGAGCTGGGTCTATTTTTCTTCTGGTAAATCCTGAGAATTGATCACAGAATTATAAAAAGCGTGCCAAAATTGACCTAAGCTGGGATATGGAGTCAAACTGGTTCCTGTCATGAGTCGTCTTTTACATTGATAACTTAGTGAGGTGTGTGCTGTGTGTCTTATATTTTGTGACAGGGCTAGTGAGAGGTTATGTTTTGTCCTTGATGTACTAATTCTGGCTCTGTGATTTTCCCATTGGGCTGTGGAGCTCTGGGAAAACAGTTTAGGAAGGAGAAGGAGCTGTGAAAATGGGACAGTACCTGCGTTGATGGGACAATCTGTACAGATTCATGTCAGAATCAATCATAAATGTCATTACTGAAGCCGTGTTGTGTAGTTAACATTGTCCTTGTTGTGTTTTCTGTAAGAGTTTTTATTCTCAGATTGATTTTAAAGAAAGGTTAACACCCACATCTTGTTATTTCATTCAGGTTCAGAGACAAACCTGTAAAAGTGGGTTGTCCAGCGTGTTTCATAGTGCAGTTTTTTATTTTTATTTTACCTCTAATGTCCCAGAGTTTTGGGAAAGTACAGCAAGTGAGTGGAAAAGAGAAAATGGACATATACAATCTTTAGAGTGTGGTTTTCTGTGAGCAGAGAGATTTTGAGGTTCGAGAGAAGTGGATTACATTACAGGTGTTCCTTCCTCTTTACTCTGACTTTTTTAGATGCCGAATGGTTCGGGAGAAGCAATAGACTGCAGCTCTTAGTCAGGCCACAGAGTGAAGTGGTTGACAATAATTACTTCAGTGTTTTTATTTTCTTTGATCACCTGAATTTGACTGTGACAAACGTGCACATGAACACACACATGGGGCGCAGTGATAGCCGGCTCACGCTAATCTCCTGAGGACGGAGACAATGTGCACTTGGCCTCTGAAAACACAAACAGCATGCATAATTGCTCACCAACTGACAGCGCAGCCATTCATTGTTCCGGGCAACACACACTCACACACATATACACACATGCATGCACACTTTCACAGCGAGTGAGATTCCGCGCCCGCTCGCCTCCTCCTGAGGTGGCCGATATCCGAGCAGACAGTTTTGGATAGTGCCATGTGGGAGAGCCCAGCTGGTGGCTGCATGATGAGAGCGACCTGTCACGTGATGTAACCACACAAAAACTAAAATCCGACTGATGTAATGGGTATGAGGCCGACTTGTCCTGTCAGTGAGTATGTTTCGTGCTGGTTTATTCCCGTCATTGATGCTGTTACTCCATTCATACAACTTTAAAGGTTGTGCGTGTGTGCGTGTGTGCGTGCGTGTTCATTATTATGCATGTGAGTGCTAATGTTCATCCCACAGCCATATTTGAAACTGTTTTGTATGCTCTTTGTTGCACAACCCTCTTAGAATGCCCTCTGTGCTGTGCATTGCATGGAAGAAAACAGTGTATGAAGGTGTGTGTGTGTGTGCTTGTGTGTGTGTGTGCGTGTATGTGAGAGACTGGAGAAGCTCTGAGGGTGCTTTTTGATTCATTGATTTGTAAATATGTTTTCATAAGGTTTTTGATAATGTATTATAGGATTATGTAAAAGAAAAGCTGTACATAAGATTTTAGATAAAGTGTCGACAGGTATATTAATTTATTTGTATAAAGCTCTGCATTCCCTGATTGTACCAACTTTGAATTACCCACCAAAGTGATTTGTGTTGTTTTCTTGCCGTGCATTGTTTGCCATCCATCTTTATGTTAACACATGGTGTCCCCTCTCACATTCTTGCAACGCCTCCCGACCTCAGTGTTAAAGACATGATTGGTTTTTGGTAATTTGTGCCTTTGTTTACTTTTTAAATTTTCCCTCGTTGTGTTTTTTTTTTTTCATTAAAAGGACAGGGATCACTGTACAGGCAAGATATACTGTAATAAGACCAAACTGCTTTCACTTTTTCATTTTCTGTAATGGATTGCTTTTAAATATCTCTATATATTGATATATAAAATCCAGCTGAAAATGTCCTCAACGTGTGCTGTGTTGTCTTCTTCTACACATGATCAAATATTTCGCCTGTCACAAATATACCAATCAAAGTAATATTTTAATGGCACTGAAGAACTTTAAACTTTAAAGCCTATTATGCTTCGCTAATATGTCCGTAAGGTTCAAATGGTCAGGTTGGCCTTCAAATTAACAGTTTGTTGTTATTAGAAAAACAAATCTGTGAAATGTATTTACCTTGATGAGAATCAAACAGTAAACAGACTTACAGACTGACTAATGAACATTGCTGAGCCATGGACTGTGTATGGATGACAACTCAACAAAAAAGAAACCAAAGCTCTCTGGTCACCAACTCGTAGCTGGCAGCAGTGTAGGTTATAACTCAGCCTCCTCCATGTTAGTGGATGGAGCATGAACAACATGCTGTATTGAAGAAGGCTTGAAACTAGAGATCAAGACCTTAAAGTCAGTATGAAAACGTTCATGTGAGAAGTAGGGTCATTTTCTCATAGACTTCAATAGATAGGGACTTCTTTATCACCAGTAGTATCGCCCTCCGGTGGTCAGTTGATAGAAGACTGGTTTTTGGCAACAATTTTTATATACAGTCTATGGTTTTAAGTAGTTGCTGCTGTTGTTCATACCAGACTAAGTAAGGCTACCAAAGCAAAACGCCGACATGTTTTGATTCAAGCAATGTGTGTTTTATGGCTCACGAATTCCCATTTTATTTGACAGAAGGAGAATGTTTTATTCATGCATTCAAAATCTATTATGAGCCCATGCTGTTTTACATCCATCCTGACTGTGTGTGATCCATCAGCAGAGAGGAAAACCGTGGCAGATAAATCCAGTCCATTATCATTATTAAAGGGAAACCAGGCAAATGCCTTCAGACTCATCAGCCTCCTTGTTGTCCTCCCACCCCATTAGGATATTATGTAATGAGTATTTTAGTTTTTTATTAATCTCATGGTGCCTGCAGCAGAAATTCAGTCATTGGTCCCAGTATAACACGTCAACCTTTATTCATTGTGGTGTGAAGGTCTGTCAGGGTGGGGGATGGTATATGTCTATATATCTCTGTGGCCTTTGTACTGACATCAATACATACTGTTATGGTCTTTTATTCTATTGTTCTTTTATTTCAGGACATTGTTTTAAATATAGGTAACAGTACGAGCCTCACTTTATAAGAGAATTTGCTCAGATTTAATCTGCGACCCTAGAGAAGGAGCTGATTTAAGGGTTCATCACAGCGGGGCAGTTGGTCGGCGAGGCTGGAGAAAAAAAATCCCCAGGGGAAATGAGGTGGCTTTGCTCGTTCAGACGGAAATCCAGCCTCCTCCTCCGTCTCTACGCTCAATCCTCTGTGTCACACAAAAATAATCTCAAGTCTTTGCAGCAAAAATAAAGCTCTGACACTTACTGTTCCCCAATGGGCTGAAGGGACAAAGGGCCACTCACACACACAGCTGCTTTCACGCCTGACTGGGCCTGTCCAGCTGCTGTGCAGTGGGACTGCAGGTGAATGTTATTGTGTCGTCTCTCAGAGAGGAATTAGTGCAATTCAGTGGGTGTCGTGTTTATAATTGTCTGCCACACTTGAAGGGGATTAGATCTAATCCCCTGGGTTTGGTCATTTTAAGAATTGAGAATATTGTTGCTCTATGTATGTGTGTTTTAGTTGACTTGGCAGGTAGTAGTGACGCTGACATGGGGGAACTGCGCCCCCTGCTGGATTTACAGTGCAGCCTGACAATTCAGCAATTGTATTTAAGGGCATGTTTGCTTATTTGAAAATACACATCATCATTATCAGTTTTCTCAGATTTTATTAAAAACAATGTTAACATCATTATTGAAATTGCAGTTGAGAGAAATCAACAGGTTGGTTTTACATTTGTCTTCTATATAACATGCAGCATTCAACAAGTACTTGATTTATTTTATTTAATTCAAAAAGTGCTGACCTGCTGCAATAATAGAAATTGCAGCCTCTGCCTTTCCTCTATAAACAGAAGCAACTGTGATAGGTAACATTTTATCATGACAATAACAATTTACTTATAATAAATATATATTTTCCTTGAATAGTTTGCAGAAGGAAGCTGCTACTTGATTGTGCAAAGATCAGCTATGAAACTATGAAAACACATTTTCCTTCACTAGCAATCACAACAAACACTTGTTCAAAGCCCCTCCCTTCTCATTGATGATGTCATCCCTTACAAAACTTGAGTTAATTGCAGCACAACTCCATGATTCCAAAACAATATCATGAAAGAAGGAGCTCAATCCAGGCACATAGCATCAACCTTAAACTGCATTTTTAGGTGCATCAGACAGAAAAGAGCATTTGTGAGTGGTTCATTGTATCTGCAGATTCTGTTCTGCTTTCCAGCTCTACAGAAGTCGAGCCTTAGCGTGGGCCTGCAGGAGGGCGGCTGTGTCCGTATGAGAACCTTGCATGGCAAAAGAGATGGCAGTTTGACCATGCTGGAGGATAGAAAGAAAAAGCCAAATTAAGTTTGACACACAAGATAAAGACTTGTCCACCTAATTTTAGCCATGCTAGCAGTATTCAAAATCAACATTTACTGGATGGATTTCTTTGAACTTTTATAAAGAATTCCACAGTTGCCTGAGGATGAATCCCACTGGCTCTGTTGATCCCCTGAGATTTCCTCATGCACCACCTAGAGATTTACTCTTGATTTTAGAGAAACTACTGCATTTTTAGACAAATTACTGCAGTGGCTGTTCTAAACCTGCCTGTTTGGAATGGTGGCCTGTGGTAATGCTGGTTGCATCTTTTTTCCTCTGAAATTAAAAGTGACCTGCAGTAATTGAGCCTCGACCAGTAAAGACCTACTGCTTGACTCAGGCCACAGAACCCTGAAGCTGCACCTCCGCTGCTGCACAAAGAGCTGTTCACCTGTTTCTGTTCACCAGGTTTTAGCAGATGCCGTTGCCATTGACATGAACGCGGTGTTGTCGTGACAACGTCACTTATGTTGATGAGTCACAGCCACTGCTGCTTCAGAGAGTTGCATTCACAGTTTATAAATACTGAAAGTGTCTCAACACCAGATTAGACACTGCACTTCCTTGTGCCTTTAATAACACAATTGTCAAGCGTGAAGCCAATGGTTCCTCAGATATTCATTCCACATACAGACACACAGAGAATTCTTAAATGATTAGACATATTATATTATGTAACATGTTGAAAAATATAAATATATTTTACATTCTAATGCTGACAGAAGTGTGTGGCTCAGGTACACAGCTTCTCTGCATGGCAGGAGACTCTTAGCATTGTGTTCATTGGAAGAGTTTCTTGGTGCAGAATTGAGGCTGCACCTTGAAATCAAAGACTAATCAGCAAGGTTGCAGTTTCAGTTCAATAGATAAATGGGTCATTATCAGAGTTTAATTGGTTGATTTAATGAGGGTTTGTGTCAGGGTGAAATATGCTTTAGAGTCGAAACTGGACACCTGTGGTTGAGGGTCTTTTCTTTCTCTGAAACTAAGGTAGACTGCATCAAAAGTAATAGATGCATATAGATGCTCTCTTCCCTGCCTCCTCTGGCTCCAGACTGGCAGATAAATTACTGTTGGCGTATTAGCTCATCTCAGCCCAAGGAGATTTGTCTTACTGTAGCCCTGATTAATCCTGGGAAAGCTCTATTCTGCTGCATGCACACGCTCAGTCCACCCACATGCACACACTGTGAGTCTAAACATTCACACTTTCATATACCCAAGCTCCTTTTGAGTTCAGATATGTGCGTAATAAAGTTGTGCCTTTTTGTTATAAAAACAGGGTTTCACAAGAGAAATCGAGTTGGAGTTGTTATTTGAATTTCTGAAATTGAATTACCTGAGGCTGCTGCCTGTAGAATTTGAAAGAAAATGTCTTTTTCTTCTTTTGGAATAAAATACTGCGACAACTGCAACTTTGTATCTCACACTAGGCAGTTAGGGGATAATAATTGAAATAAGTGCTCTATGGGACTTGTGTGCTTCAGTGTCACCTTGTCAGTGAGGGTGAGGTCACACTGGCTCCTCTCCAGCAGCAGTCGTGCGATGTGTGTGTGGCCCCTCTCTGACGCGAACATCAGGGCTGTGGTGCCCTGGCTGTCCTGGCTGTTGGTGTCAGCTCCACAGCTCAGCAGCAGGCGGACCATCACGACTCGGCCGTGTCTCACCGCCAAGTGCAGAGCTGTTTGGCCCGTCTGTGGGGAAAGAGCAAGAGAGGATGGGACACAGACGGAGATCTGTTATTGATAAAGGACTCTTTAGGGAGATGCAAATGAAGTTTGTAACAAGCTTCAAAAACATAACAGTCTATATTTCCCATAATGCAAGATAGTGTCATTCATTTGACCCTCCATGGCTTTTATACATCTGTGGGCCCTAAGCAGGATAAGGTTTGGCAGCCATGTCATGAAGTGGACAGACCAGTTATAGCCCTTATTCATTTGAAGTGAAAAGCTTTGTCCCTGTCATTATAATCAAATCAAACATGATAGTCAGTTTGTATTCAAACAATTTAATATTTTAGTGTTGGAATATAGATTTTACTTTTTAAAGGTACCTTATTATGAAACAAATATTTGCATATGTGTCACTTACTGACGGAGGGGACCTGCATTTGTTGGACACATCCATTATTGCCAGTATTGGATCAAACATATGCGATGACTCGCGCTGTTGCCTTATCATATTCATCATATTATATTAGCAACCCTAATTCAGCCAAGTACGATGTATGACTTTGGGGGCCCCCTGGTGGCTGCGTGGCCCTAAGCAACCAGTTAATTGGTTTATGGGGAGGGGCCGATCTTTTGAACTGCTCCCCCAAGTCCTTCATAGGCTTTCTGGTAAAAAAAATGTGAAGCTTCAAGCCACAAATATTTTCTCAGAGTTCAAATAGCTCCCGTCAGAAGAAGAAATTATACAACTGATCTGTATTTATCATGAAATACAAACTGATGTGAAAAACAATGGA